ACTTTCTTTTCTTTCATAATTTTGTAATATATACATTCTCATCTAGCATTGAATGAAAATATAATAACAAATATAACAATAATTGAAGTTATAAATTTCATTATTATTAATCATTTTGGATGACTATTAAAGGAGATAATACAAAGAAAAATAAGAATAAACAAAAAAACACATAACTTTAAGAAAAGTGAATAATAAAATACTTACTGTAATATGGAAAATGCTATTTCAATATAATGAAAAGATAAAAATAAAAAATCAACAAAGAAAAGAAACAAACACAGAATCAGAATAGAAATAAAAATAAAAAAGTATTGAAAATATAAATATAGAAATAGAATAACAAAAAATAAAAATGAATCATTTTTTGTTGAGAAGAAAATATAATTGGAGTGAGTTTCTTTCATCTTGTGAGCTTATTTCTTGAGTCTTTTAGAAAAACAAATAGAATAAACAAAATAATATTTAAGTTATGATACAAATAAATGATATGAAACATAACTATTGTAAAAATTATTAATAAATATGAATATGTGGAATATAAGAAGAAATAAATAATGATATAGAATAAATTAATAACAATGATTAGAGTTGAAAGAAGAAATTAATCTTGATACAAACTAAAATGTGTAAATAGAAATAAACTTTTAAGTATAAAAACCAATAAAAAGTGAACCAACAATACAATAAACATATAAAATTTGTTAATTATCAAAAATGATAAGCACTAATTTATATTTACTAGAATCCATACAAACTATAAAAAATGAATATTTACGCAATTTTTTATATATACAAATTCATAAGATTAATCTTTTTTACATTTAAATCCAACAAATATTCAGATTCAATATAATTACTAAATAACTAGAAAATAATTCAGTAATGATATTAGGTGATATAAAATATAAGGTGTTATTGTAAAAATCATAAAATAAATTAGTCTCATAAATATAGAATAGATCAAATATGTAATACCAAAAAGATTCCCATTTTCAAGACGAATTATTTATTATTATCAAAATCAATTTATCATACTATCAACTCTAGTACTTGAACTGAACTCAAAAAAAACAAAACTAGTTGATAATCCTACTACCAATGAAAAATATTCATTTATCATAAATTAAAAATATAATAAAATATAATCTACTCAAAAACATCAATTTCACCTTGAAAAACAATTTAACAATAAAACATTTAATAATTATTAAAACCATTTTATCCTTGCTACAAAAATAGTGGTAATATAATTATTGATTTCATATAATGGTATATGAATAAAAACTATTAGGTGTAAATTCAAATAGTGGTAACTATTATTAGAGAAGATATTCAACTATAATCATACTATTGTTATTGAAATAATACTCATGATCTTCCAATTTAATAAACCAACCTATTCATTATTATATATTTGTGTTATATCATACTATTTCATTCACTTTTAAATAATTATGTTATTCGATTTCTTTGTCATATTTCTTATTACTCTTTATATATACTATAATTAAATTTTTAATCAACCAAGCTATTTTGTGTTTAGCGGTTGTGATAATATTTTTAAATATCCTTGTATTCGTTATACATAATGAATGGTTAAACTTTAATTAATATCTTTAGAATAACTTAACC